ATACATTTTTTTTACGAATAACGGCAAAACTCGACGACAGAATTTCGAAAACAATGGACGAGAAAAGAAGGAAATATCTTCTCGAATGAATCGGTAGAAGAAAATCGTTGCAAAGCACGATTCGAGTCGAGGATCGTGTGCGGTGACCTTGGCCTCTAGTAGTGGTTGTTTCAACACATAACGCAACACACACGGGTAAAAGAGGGTAATGGCGAACACGCGATCCAATGTGTATAACCTCAACCTGCAAGGAAATCGTTGCGACAAAATTCTCCGCGTTCTCGTTTCAAATGTATAGGTTGGTACAGGTTGGTTAGAATTGATATCCTTTCCAGGACAAGCCGTACAATTGCAATTTGCACTTACGGATTGCTCGCTACCTTTTAAATTTCTCAATGCCAGTCTTTTTTCTTTTCTTTCTCTCTTGCCGAGAGACTCGTCACGACTACACCTTCGCGATATCAACCACGAATTCCTCGCACTGGAGATTTACATCGTCCACGTTGAAATTACACGCGAAATTACCGTATCATGTGACACGTTCATCGAGCTAGCTACCTTATCGAACTTGTATTTTTCCTTTACTCTCTTTTCTATTTCATCGCACACGCATCGTTTATTATCCTCTTTCTCCGATTGCGTTTTAGAATAAAACTAGATTTTCTTACACGCAACGATAGGTTAACGAGACAGAGAGATATCTAATAAGCGTTAAAAGGTGGACGATGCGAAAAAAGAGCAAGGTTCGAGGCCTTTCCGCCCATTTTACGAGATTAAAGTCACACGTTGAACACGAAGAAGCTTCGAATATCGTGCCGACGGTCTGAACGGTAAACGTCACTTCCTGATCGTAGAAATGGCTTCTAACCCATTTTACGAGGAAAGAAGCCAGGTCGAGCCTCTATCAGCTGTCCATCTGGTTGGCGTGTCGTGACCTTTCGCATCCTTCTGCATACACTATCGTAGCGAATAACAAATGGAACGAACGTTAACGAGACTGATAGAGCATCGCTCCTCTTACTTACTACCCGATATATCGGGTAATAAGATATGAAAAATGGATAAACGCGATCGATCTATTGACTTTCGATTCGAATTTTCAATCTAATTTGACTGCGCTTCGCTTCAAACTTCTTCTTCTTATTTCTCAGCTTTTGCTTTTTCACTCTACATATATTTATTATGTAGACACCTACACGTTCTTCTACGTTGTTGATATTATCGATTGAACGTAGTTCGCTCGCTCTTCCGTTTAAATTTGCAATTCTATCCCGATACAATTCGTTGGTTGCGATATATCGGTGTACAAAGTGAAAACTTTAACCTTTCGTCAAATTAATTTTAAACGAGTCTTAAATAACAATACGAAAACGTTATTTTCTTTGGAAAAGAAAAGATTCGTACGAAAGGTTCCGAAGTTCGCAAGAAGTAGGATATCTTGAATGTTTGTCGTGTATGAAGTTGCATTCGTAAATCTTCGATAAATGTTACAGATAAGAAAAATACGATCGAAGTACGGAAATAACCTATTCGAGAAGAAAATGTGATGAAATTACATAGCTAGAAAAGAGTGAAAATGGCTGACATTTGCAAAACTACTTACTTACTTGTAATATATCTATCGAATATAAATTGTAGTTAGCCTTGCAATTTACTTGCTATTTTATGAATTACTTGTTATAAATTGCTTGTTATAAATAATATAGGACAAGGCTGAATTTATGGAGAGACGAAACATAAGGAATAAAAAATTAAAATAACACTTGGTAATCGGTGGTAATGATGATAATAATGTACTGCGAATCGAACTGATATAAAAATATAATAAACGATAGGAGGTTTCTTGATTTCTAATCAACTTCTACTTGAATATTACCGAGCCTTGAAATTGAAAACGTTTCATACTTTATGCAAATTCATTTACTATCGACTAAACAAGCATTTATCCGCGAAAGAAATCAATTTATTCCCATCATTCCCTTTATTTTATTAATTTCACCTTGAGATTCTCTATTATTCGGATTGTGATGATTTTCACCGAGATCCAATAATCTCACGAAAATTTTAGGATATCGCATCATATCGTAGAAGATATGTGCGATCTTTTTCAATCAACGACAAAGTAGTAATTCACAATTAGATTATTTCGAGTAATTCTCGATGAAATTTATAGGCAGAGGCAATTGGAGAGGTGAGGTGAGCAAGACGGATTTATAACGTAAGAAATATTCTTGACCTCACGTCATTTTCCTTAACGTCGTCATTATCACGGATACAAGTTGAAAAGAACGTCATGATTCGAGGTTTCATCGTGAGCAAGAGCATTGCTCTACCAATGAAAATAGCCTCCAGATTGGTAGCTAATTCTATAATCGCGTGTGCACCGGTCTATCTGGATTACAATCAGATCGAATTCATAAATGCCAAATCTTCGCTATCCGAGTCTAATTGCGGGGAATATGTGCATACATATATATATATATATATGTGTGTGCGTGTGTGTAGCCTCGTTCAAGTCTTCAAGTTTTTCGTTAATTGTTCTTCGATAAAGTGTTTCGAGAAATTATTTCACGCTATCTATTAGAAATTTAATATTGTCCAACTATTTTTATATTTTCTAATTTTTTACTTTTCTTTGATAAAAAAAAAATGAAAAAACTAGAAACTTTTTTACGCCATTATATATTTTCACGACGAATTTCAACGATTTAAATATAATTTTAATTCCTTCGAGATCATTTTCGAGATTTTTCTTTGCAAACAAAATTTTTCTTTTTCTTTTTCCATTCGTATCATTTATCGCGTCATCGAAAACTGCATAGATATAATTTTATCAATTATGCGATATTTTTATCGGTGGACTTTAGATCAATTTCAAAACATTAATTCATTAATATTAATCTTATTTGCTGACAAAATAATTTTACAAATAATGCTCATAGAATATATATTTATTGATCTAATTCAAATTCTTATTCGCATCATCAATATAAATTTAGCGATATCATCAAATGGAACGAATCAAATATTCGTTGTATAAAATGTTATCGGGGAAAAAGGAAAGACTAAATTACACTGCTAAATTACTTTTCTGAATCAGCTCGATTCATCAAAATGCTAAGATGCAAAAGGTTTTTGCGAACGATAATATATTTCCAACTCGCAAATTGTAAAGTTATGTACCAATTGGTGGAAACAGTGAATAAAATAGATGGGAAATTTTAGATAGACGAATTTTATCGTCGATGTCATCGATTTTCATCTAGAGATCGATCAACTTACAAACGTGAATTCAAAGAGACACATACACCTCGCGATTCTTATTGATCGCAGAGAATGATCGATCTGAATCGAACAAGACATTCCTTAAATTTGCGAAACGCAAAGGTTAAACTATCAAAAACAATGTATATCGACAGAATTAACTGTATACGAAAAAAAGTAACAAGGATCCGAGGAAAGTAAAGAGGATTCTTAAATTTTATCTAAAATAATCGAATATTTTTCTGACTAATTAAATGTATATCAATACATTTATAAAAAAATTTATAAAAAAAGATATATATATATTTATAAAATAAGAGAAAGAGAAAGAAAGTATTCGCGTATAAAGTTTTAAAAGAAATAAACAAATATTTCAAGTGTAAAATCTCAAGTGTATATCTCTTTTACGAGAAATATTTGTTTCAAATGAATTGCGTTAGGATGCGGATATATTTTATCACATTTTGCAATCGTAAAAATTTAAAAGAAACGACATGCGAGCAGTCGAAAGTATACATGGTGAGTATACATATACTGTATACGCATAGGAGAATTTTTATGTAGTGTTCAAAGAAATTACCCGTTAAAGCTTCAACTCTTTAACTCTTCGTTTTGTCGTGTTCTCGAAAAGCTTCGAGTCACGATTCAAAGTTATTTAGTTATATAGTAGTTGAAACGGTGCTCTTTTACACACGGTATCTTTTACTCGAATGTAATCGCATGCGCAGCGACCATCGTTACAATCCAGATAACATTCTCCAGAGATTTTCGCAGTTCGTGTCAAGATCTGAAAGAAAAATTTAGTAATCAGAAACATTTTTATTAGTTTATATATCACTTTTTCCAAGAAAAGCGCGTTACAATTTCTCTTGATATTATAAACGTATTATGTGTCATGTGTTTTTTTTTAAATGAACTATAAAATTAAAGGATTAAATAACAAAAATTTGTGCATTTATGTATCTGTTTCTATATACTATTCATTGTTATCCGTTTTTTCGTTTTCTTTTTTTTTCTTTTTTTATTTCTTTACATTTTTTACCGATGATTTAATCCGATGAAACATTCGGATTCAATTCCGACTTCAACTTCCGTTATCATACCATGCGAGCTACCATTTTAATACCGTTTCAGAAATGGTAGATGTTTATGAATTATTTTTATTCATTTGTTATCATCGTTCCGTTTTCTTTTTATAAATTTTCAAATTATAATAAACATCGCTAAACGTGTATAGATTTATTCGTAGATGATTCGAATCATACGAATTGTACGTATATTACACAATAATTGGTAACACTTGGTAAACACGATCATCGAATGCTCGAGCGAGATTGTTTTACTCGATAAAAACAAAAATTACGAAGAAATTATTATACGCCTCGAACATGTCTATCATATTGCGCGCAAAATATTACGTTGTTGCATAATTTTTACACGCATCAGTAAAGGATCGGATTGGTTGCAAATCTTATTCCCTTTTATTTATTTTTTTTTTTTTCCTTTTTTCGAGAAAATGTACGTTAGACGAAACAAGCAACGAACAAAGCAGGTTTCTTTGTTGATGATAACAAGCATAAAATGATCGTGCGCGACCCGCGCAAGATATAGCTTGACCTGTAAACATTTTTCTCTAATGAAATTCGTGGTAGGAGAATAACTTTTATCGTAAATTTTATTTCTCTTTTCATTAAACTTTAGCCAGGTCGAGGTTAATTTGTATTTTTATGTTTACCATTTAACGTTCTTTCTTCCTCAATGGTTAGTTTCTAACTGATCGTTCATCATGAAGGAAGGCAGGATCAGTAGAGCCAGTAAGGGTGAGTTTATTTTATACGTACAGATACATGTAGATATAAATTTCGTAGTACGTACTTTATATATATATTTTTTTTTTAAATAATTCTCACTTCCATTTTTGAAAAATGAAAATACTTACAAAAAATTACTAGAATACCTTGAAATATTTAACAGTTTATATTTATTTACTTTGAACCAGTCATAAATGTATTAAAGTAGTGGAAATAGGAGAGAGTATATCGAAGATTTAAGTAAGTGTAAAATTACAAAGACTTTTGATTTTCTATTAAGTTATTTATAAAATGAACGCGTGAAAAATAACGATGAATATTATTATATGTTACATATAACAAATATAATGTTTGAACAAAATAGAATAATTTTCCAATTCGATGGTTTTATTCGGTTATCGTAGACCAACTCATAAGCGTGGAAGAAGGATTAGTGGAGAATGGGAAAACTTCATGCATGAAGCATATTGAAGTGAATAATACTTTAAAACGAATAATAGAATGCGTGAAATTAATTCTCCTATTGGAAATGTTGCTTTTCATTGGATGGGGTTGTTACACAACGTGGCAAAATTGCCGTATCGAATCGATGGAAGTCAACCCTATAGATAATATTTCAAAAGCAGAATCGGAAAATCTGTTTGATTTCAAGCGTGATAAAAGTATTATAAACGCGGTTGAACGACTCAATAAATCGAACGATATTTTAACGGAGAATATCTTGGAATTTTCGACGGAAATTTCGAAGATCGACAACGAAATCGATACGAATGTCAATACAACGGAAGATAATTTGCAAAACGTGGAAGATGATTTATTATCGGTAATAAATAACGATAAGAAGAGCGCGTTAGAAGACGTCGAATCTTTCGTTGTGATCGAAGACGATAATTTAAATTCAACGGAAAAGGAATTTAAAGAAAACGTAAAAACGAACGAATCGAGAAAATATGACAAAGATTCATCGGACGATATGTGGACAAACGAATCGTCGAAAAGAAGCGAGAAAGACATGCAACACGATAGACAAAGGAATTTAGAAAATTATTCGATTTTCTTGTTGATCTTAGAAAATGCTATGAGAAATATATCGATCTCGGAGAGTTCTATCACCGGAGAGGACAATTACAAATCGCAAGATTTTAAAGTATCCGATGAATGGTTAAACAAAGAATTAACGGACGAAAATAGAGAAGATTTTTTATCGGAATCACACATGGATGTTGATGATAGGATGGGAGAAAAATCAGAAGAAAAGATAATGATAAGATTTTTGGAAGATCCTAACAAAGATGTAAATCGAAACGAAAATAACAATAGATGGAATCCAGAACAAATTCCTGATATAATATATCCTGAAAGCGACTATGATGCAAACGAGGCGTTTAACGAAAAAAAAAATATTTCAGATTTATCCAATCCAGGTTATCCAGATTATTTATATTACACATATTAGATTATTATAAATAGGTAAAGATTTTCACCGAGGTTTAAACATTTCCATTGTAAAAAAAGACAGATGTAGTAAGTATTTCTATGGATACACATTATAAAACATTATAAACATTATAAAAATTGAATATTATAATATATCTTTCATTATGTAATTATAGATTCGGAACATCTAGGAATATTTTTGTTAAGTCTGTAAATAATCTACCATACGGAAATAAAGAACTGGACGATAAAGAAGAAAAATACAACGACATCGTACTTGTATGCAAATACGAAAAGATGAATTTAATTATAAATATATAACTTTAAAATTATCGAGACGTGGAGAATAAATATGAAATAAAGAAAGAATGAACTTGTACGGTTATTATTTTTCTACGTATTTATCACAATACTGCGAATGAAATTTTTTTTTATTCGTAACGTAGAATCATTTTCCCGATGAAAAATTCATTAAAAAATTTCTTTCTAAGATGTGCGACATTTTAACCGTGTATTTTTCTATTATTATACACATACGTTATTATAAGAATTATTATATTGTATCGTTTTGTGAAAAATAATTACGATTGTAAGGAATTATTGATAAAAAATAAAACGATAGGTACGATTGAAAGAACGTCAAAGATTTGATCAAAAAAAGTGATCAAATATTAATTTATTTCCATATTTTATAATTGATTATGTAATTCAAATAATTTATTATACGCACAATAAATTATTGTAAGAAGAAGAAAGAAATATTATTTCCAATAATATCAATTAATTTTATTTATTTTATATTTAACTATATACGTATATCATACTTTGAACATATTTATAAAGATTACAAGCGAAGATTGACAAACTCGTATCATAGAAAAATTAATGCATCATTCGCACAACTGCGCATGGGCCTTGAACTTATTTATGCTAATATATAACGATTTACACCATAGTTAGTCTGATAACGTTTCTATTCGTCAACTAATAGGCAATTACAATTAGTCGGTCTGCGATTACAAACTTGTGAAGTAGGTCACTCTTGCCATGTTTTCGAAGAAGATCTTTATCAAAGAACGCACATAACCCTTATAACTTTTTATGATATCCTATAAATTGAATAGTTACTTTTGCCAGAAATGTCTAAATTCGTCCATCAAATAATTCCCTTTTTTTTAAATTTCTTATCACACGATCGAACGAATAAGTTTCGTTTAAATTCTTATTACTCGTTCGAATAAGTTCTGTGTTACAGAATAACAATGATAGTCGCGGAATACAAAATAAAATATGTAATAAATATCTTGAAAAAAAAAAACAATTTATAAATTAAATAAATTAGATTTGGAGTATTATATTACATAGTATTATATTAAAATGCTTGGGAATTATAGTTCGTTAATGATCTTTTTTATAAATTCTATTTTTATAAATTCCAAAGGTTAACATATTCTTTAAAACGCGATATGCGACAACTAGAGGCATGCGAGAGTCCAAAAATGTTGAATCGAGACGCACGAAGAATTCATCTCAGGATCTCAGGCTTCTTCCAAAGTATCTCTTTTAATTTTGTGGACGACTGTAGTCCCGAAATGTTATTTGGAATCCCGAAATATTCGAACTACGAGAATACTATTTTCGAAAGCTAAAATCTTCTTTCAAATTCGTTGTAAGCATCGGGTTTCCAACATTTTCGACTTCTCGTATATCTCTAGTAACAAATAAAAGAGTAGATAATATAGTAATAATAAAAGAGTTTTATACATTTACACAAGGAAGAGGATTTTGAGTTGATTTCAAAATAACGAATCATCAAGCTTTTGCTATTGAAATAATGAAATTTTTGAAAATTGACAATATATAATTGAAACGAAATGAAATTTTATTCGATAAAAAGTTAAAAGATAATAATGTCCATCGTATTTGTTATTGTTCATTATTTAATTTCATTCATGCCTAAGTTAATATAATAAATTACGCAATAACAATAAAACGGTATATATAAATTGGAATCAATTTTCTTATACGCGTTGGAATAGGTAGTAAGCAATTGTTATTTTTAAAACCGAACATATTCAATAAGACGAAGGAACGAACCACTTGAATATTCACGATCTACTTTCGTTAATTTCTTTTTCTTCCTCGAATGGACGAGACAAATCCTACTGTTACGAAATCTTCGTGATATGTCGATAGTTTGTTTGTAATTGATGCATCGAGCTAATACGATACGAACCTAGCGTGCGGGAAAACACTCTTCTGTAAATTTAAACTATAATAATGTAATGGAAACAACGTTATAAATTTCTCAACTTTCGTACACGTGTTTTTATTATACTTGAATCAATCTGAATCGATGAAACGTATTCATACAATTATAAATTGCAAGTAAACGAGTTTGTCGAATCGAAAAGTTTAACAAAATGTTTCGAACAAATTTTTCTCTCTTTTCTAACGTTACAGCGTTTATAATTTTATTAACCATTTAAACGACAATTACATATCGGATTTTAATGCGTAAAAATTACGTAGAAAATTTTAAAATTTTTCATCTATATATCATCGTAAATGTATAAATTGAGGTAGAATCTGGCGTTCAAATTCTTTGCAAATTCATCAACATGTGTTTCATGAATTTATCAAGTTGCGGAACTGGGCGAAATACTCATTTCAACTCACAAATTGGTCAAGTCGATTCCTTTATTTCTGATAAAAAAGTTTAAATACATTATAAATCTATATAATAAACGCGAGAGACGAACATTATAAGGCAAAATGCAAACGCTCTTTAAAAATTATTTCATAAAATATTGAAAATTAATTACGAAAAATACGTATTCAAACAAATATGATGATGCTTTCATTAACAGGTTTTTAATAATTTTTTAATTATCAGATATCTATCACATATATCTTTAAGCGTGATTTAATCATATTTTTAAAAATTTTTTTTAAAAATTAATTAATCTAACTAATTTGTGTTCGGTAAAACTTGATTTTCCAATAGATAGCAGAGTTGTTTGACCGTTAAAGTTTCGTGACTGTGTAAAACGAAACACGATTTTTCGTGCACGAATTGTTTGGAATAGTGATGAACTTTGTGATTTTTTTTTTCACGTTCATCGTGTACAATTTTATTAAATTAAGTTTTACTATATTCTTACTCTTCGAATAATCTATAGTAATTTGTCATACAACATAAATTATTCTATCCATTAATTTATTTAAAATAAAGATATATTGTTTTGGAAAAAGAAAAAGAGAAAATGTATCAGTTATATATTACGCGAATTTTATATAAAATAATTACTGGAATTACATATCATTTCGATCAGAGATATTCGACGAAAAGAAATTTAATAAAGATAAAAATAGTACGAAATTCACCAGTTTTCGAAAAATATTATTAAATTTTTAAGCTCATTTATTCAAAGATAACAACGAAAAGGACAGGTGTATATTCGTTGTTTTAAACGAACTCTTGGATATTTTGCATATATTATCTAATCTTGATTGAAAAATCGAAAATAAAATTACGATAACGATGTTAAAAATATTTTTTACAAATACGCACAAATGTAAAAATAATGTAAAAATATATATTTTAAGGGATGAAACGTGATTAGATTAGATTTAGAACGGCTAACGAAGTAATTTTATTAGCTTAAGAAATTAATAAATCGATATCGGATTATATTTAATTTTGATCAAATTTTGACTTAATTGCTCTTTCTCGCGTCGATAGTGATATATACGTAAAAGTATCTTTTAACGAATGTAGGAAATATTTGTAAAAAAAAATACTTTAATTCAGAAAATTGTACGATATAACGAATAAATATTTCGCAAACGCGTGAAAATAAAATATAGCGTGACAAAAGTTAAAGTTAAGATACTTTGTTCCAGCACGGAACTGTTTTTTTTTCGAGCAGAATTCCTACTACGATCGAAACTTAAAGGAACTGTTTTAAACACACCTTGGACTCTTTGTTCGAGGAGGTGGTAAGCAACTACGTTTTGGTGTAGAATACTTTCTGCTTTGGTGGTGGCAGCACGTAGGATACACAGGGTGGGGGTGTACCGTAAAGGCTTAAAAGGCTCTCCAACGTCCTTGTAACACGCAGTTCTAGAATAGAACATAATAGTATTCCTTTCAAATAAAAATCCAAGTGCGTCCAAATTTTTCTTCAACATCTTCTAGACTAGTAATTAATCGTCATTGCTTGTAACGGTACCGATAATCATAATTTAAATATTAGTGCAAATAAAATACATCGAAATAAAAACTCGTGAGAAGAAATTTCATTGCAACGCAAAAGAAAAAAAAAAAAAAGAAAAAAATCGGGATTGATACTTTTCGAAGTGAGGAAAAAAAGAGAGTGATTTTCATTTCGAAATTTTATCGCTTAATTTTATATCTTCAGTGATCGATGAATCAATTGTGCGGTTAATCCTTTTCGATTTTCAACGATTTTAAACATATCCGTAGTTGCAACAAGTAGAAAATGAGGGAGACGAGAAGTTTTCAAATGTTTGCAACGTTTCTTTTATTGGTGTTCTTCGTATCGCCATCTTCTACTTGGGCTCTTACGACTTTCGGCAAAACCAACCCTCAAACCTCGAATCAAAATTCTCATCCATCGCCTACACCAGGTTTGTCCAATTCTTGTTTTCAAAAGTTCGTCACATCGTGCCCGATTTACAGTATTAACGATCGATCTTTCGCTTTTGGGATTTGTCAATCGTTATTAATTTTTATATCATCGGATAAAACAAGATTATGCGATAACAAATTTCGATTAATGCTGACGATCATGTGAATTTAGTTGGGAGAGCTCGGGAATGTAAGTTGGAGTCTGATTGCGCTGGAATTCAAAATACGACATGTATAGCGGATTCTCGAGACGGAAGGACACGTTGCCTTTGCGGAGATTATTCCGCACCTCTTAACGGCGCGTGTATTAATAAATTCAAAGGTAATCAAATTTTTAACTTTTAGAAACGTATCATTTTTTATGCCAAATATATATAATTTAAATACGTTATATTATAAATTTCGATGTATCAATCGAAACGAATCGAACATTGCATCAGAGTATATTTGGAAGATCGAATATACTACAATTTTGAAGAAACAAATTGAACAGAGCATAAGAAACTGTACTATCATTTGCATATACTCTCGTGTTCTATTGCAATATGTACCAGCACTGTGGTTATCTATGCAAATTGAAAACCTTTGCGAATATCATTGCAGTTTACCACATAAACCACTATTCACAATTTAATTTTCTTACATACGTAACATTCGTTTTTTTTAACGAATGTGCAAATATGAAACATATAGATACATATATTCTAAAAATGCAAGTATAATTGAATATTGTTGTAAATTGGAAAACAAAAATAATTTGAAAATTTTTGTCATTTAAGTTAAATAATTGATATTTCGTTAAGAATTTTAGACGATTTCAGATAAAATTCTGTCACGTAATTTTGTTACAAAGGTTAAAATTGATCGATGTTGAGAATATTATATATTATATATTTGTATGAAATTGCGTGTTACCATCGAGTTAAAACGCATCGAGCTTTTATGGCAATTTGGTATGCTACGTTTGGTATATAACGATGTATATACATTAAGAACAGATATAAATTCGATTTTAACCAGCAAGCATACAAGATTTGATTTCCAAAATATAATAATAATATTATATAAAATAGGTAATAGATAATTTTAATAATTTAAGTAAAAGTTTTAAATTTAAAAGCTAAAATTAAATTTGAGTTGACATTTATATATTTTTCTTCACATAAAATTCACATAAAAAAGTGCAAATTTTAATCTTCGAATTGTTTTCGTCATTATCCTTAAACTATTTTATATTAAAAATATATATTTCTGTTGTAGCGTTACATTTTTCATGTAACAGTGATTCTGAATGCACTAGTGGGGCACATTGCGTACAACAAAACGTTACCTTAGGAAAACGTTGCTATTGTCAAGAAGGATATTATGAAGAAAGTCTTTTACATTGCAGTGGTATGTCATTTTTTTTGCTTGATTTTTTACTGCAATCGAGTTCTAAATTTATCTTTTAATTTTTTTTTTTACGTAACAATTCTCTTTTTAATATAAATAAATTTAAATAAGTTTAAATACACGGTATATCACATGTGTAATAAAATGTTTTAATTATGGTTTAAATATTTTTTTTCACAGGTGGTACATCTGTTCTTGCATTTCACACTCTATTTCTCCTAATTAATTTAAGTATTGTAAAACATAACTTTAGTTTCATATAAATCATTTACGATTGAAATATTGTTTTAAATGAATGTAAAAAAATTGTATTAATTTTAAAATTATGTATGGTAAATTTTTTAAATTTTCAATCAAAAAATATGACATTGTACGAAAAAGAAAAAGTATATGTTTAGTATATTTTACTCGAAGATATAGTATTTTAATTATCATTTAAGAAAGCACGTGCTCAAGCTATGCACAAAAAATATTTATAATTCGATAACTTTTCAACCATTTTCTATATCTCTAAATTCTAATCAATTGCCGAGCATACCTAATGTTATTTGTCTAATCTTTTTAAATTTGCAATTTTTTTATTTCAAATTTCTTTTGTGACGTATAATTACAACTTATAGTGTTTTATATGATAGAAAAAACTGTAGAAAAAAAAAAAAAACTGAAAATTGATATATTCGTTCTAGACAATTTTAAATTGTACATTTTATTCTACAACAAAGAATTTAATGTATCGTCAAATTGTCTATTCCGAAATTGAAATAATTAAAATGTTAATACTTCGTAATTCATGTACGAATAACGATAGATGCATAACGAAACTTTTACGAAATTTTTACTAATTTTCATTTAAAATATTGCAATAGGAGCTTGCAAAATATTTCCGTATACTTTATTTTAATTTTAATCTATATATTATACAGCTTATCATTGATTTCTATGTTTTTAAATATTTATATGAATTATAATATTTACATCTTTACAATAAGCAATAGATTGTATTATAAAATAATAGAAAGTCCACAAAACATCTATTCTAGATCTGTTCAATATATTTCAACGATATTATAAAAAATTTTAAAATCTATATTTCACATTTTGTCGATCTATTTCTAATTATAATTAAAAAAAATTAATTTAAAAAATTAATGAAACTTTATGAAATATTAATATATGCATTATAATTCTATGCAATTTCATTTGAATCGAAAATCACATTAGATAAATCACATTAAACTTTTACAATGTACATAATTATATCATACTTGTTGTGTTATTTAGACTATTGTCAATTATTTTTTCTTTCTTTTGTTTATCAATATTTTTTCAGTTGTAATTCTATAACTTTTATAGAATTGAAATCATATGTAAAATAAAATGTAAAATTTTAATATTATTTTGATTTCGATAGTATTGCATTAGAGTTTTATCGAGTAGAATAAAACGATTGATTATAGATTATATACGATTATGAATTTGGCAGCTTTATAAATTGAAATTATCTATTCGTTTAGCAAATATATATATATATAGCATAGTATAACTAGATATACATATATACATACATATATATATATATATATATAAAGTTTAAACATGCCAATAAATGCCTTAAATGCCTTCAACGAATATATATGAAATGAACAATAATTTTGTTAATGAGAATTTTTTAAAACATGATTTAGCAACAACATTTATTTTGATTATAACGCATAGTATTTTATATTTGTAAATTGATAATAGTATAATTTTTAATTTATTTTTATTTTTGTACTGTATTATGTAAATGTATTATTAATACAAATATATTATGCACAAATAAACTTTTCCGTATTCTAAATATATATATTATGTATTTATTATATATTATGCATTTATTTATATACATGTATACGTATATATATATATTATGTATATTTCTTAATATTAATTATAGATTATACAAGTCAATTATTAAAAGGAAAATAAATAGAAAACTTCATACATATATTTTGTTAATCGAATATTTTATTATTTCTTTTGTAGAACTAATTGCGTTACAGTGTTTCCGCTCTGTCCAGCAAAAATAAATGTATCTGCGGGAAGCACGTGTAAAATATCAAAATCTAAAATATTATAAATTATATTAGTATAAATTATATTAATGTTATATAACAAATATTATTATTAATAAAAATGAATTAATAAACATGAATCAATATCAAAATTTGTAGTATGTATAATGTTCTAAATAATAAATTATTCAAAAAACTAAATTATTTATTTCTGCACAATATATTTAATAATATTGAATATAATCGAAAAATTTGTTTAATTATATGACAATTTTTATATAAAAAAATTTCAAATGTTTCCAATCATATTTTTCAATATGGAAAAAATGTAACTTACAATCTTGAAAATGTTTTTGTATTTCTTCTTTAGTCCAATTACATGAAGTTAAAACTAAGTAACCAGAGGGCAATAGAATTTTGTATACATTTTCTACGTATTTTTGTCGTTTCGTCGCTGGATCTTCCGGATTTAAACTGATGGCATCATAAGTTCCTTTATCGTGTATTAATTTAAAGTCTGTCGGTAAATTCAAATCTTGAGAATTTAAAATATCGCAAACTTTTAATTCAATGTGTGACATATTGTTTTCCTTCGATACTTCATGAGCTAAGTCAACTGCTTTTTGCGAATAATCTATACCCATCAATTTTTCAAAACCTTGTTTTGCAAGTTCAATCAGTGTCATTCCATTTCCACATCCTATGTCAATTATTTTATCATTTTTATTGAGTTTTAATTGAGTGTTAATCCAACTGAAATATTAAATATATAAAATATTTTTTAACAAAGAATGTATTCATATATTACAAAAAAAAAAAAATAATTATAAATGTAAAAGTATTTATATATGTTCGCAAAATAAATCGTATCACGCTAAAATTATATATCAATTAATAAATTATTAAATATTTTATATAAGATTTTATTAGAATTATTACAAATATTTGTTATATAAAAATGAATTTAAACAAATTTATTTATTTGATTCGAAATATATAATTTGAAGACATTACCTTCTCAGTAGCCTTAAGATCATAATAACTAAAATTTACGAAAGATAGCACCACTAGTTTATATGCGAGTTTATTGCTCGTGTTATACACATCTATCTTTCGCGTTGGTTACATACATTTTTCGCGTATTATCCGAATAACTTACCGTATGACTTTTAGTGTATTGCTTTTACCAAACCATATTTCGCCTATATCTCCATATTCCCTAAAATTATCAAGTTCTTCCGAGTAAATCCTTTCCCAACTAAAACATAATCGTGTCATAAAGTAATGCTTATCGAGTGTTTCATATTTACGAATACGGTACGTATTACTTACTAATCGAGTGTACCTAAATCCGATGGGCCGAGTTCTTCAATATTTTGATCTGTCATAATTTTACTTCAATTATATTTAAAGATTATAATTGAATTGTTGTTTTATTTATTAAATATATTAAATTTTAGCTTTCTCAAGTATTTTTATTAAATCACTTATTTATACTAAAAATGCCTTTTGAAAATTTTAACACTTGATGCGAAAAGTGTAATCACATCATACGTATGAAACGTTATTAAACTGGCGTAGCGTAACCTCACTTTTAAACCTAACCTATATACATTTGGTGTATTACATATGTCCACTGTATAAGCGTGATTGTGCAGTAATTGTAATAGCTAAAGTATTTGATATATTCGTTATTTCTTCAAAAAGTGTTTCAAAATTTGTTAAATATGTTCGGTAGATTGATAAATACACTCCAAATTGGTAAGTAAAAAAATATACTTAATATATTTTATATTTATTAGATATATATATATATAGATTTTAGAAATATATAGGAAAATAGATTTAAAGTATAGTTATAGTTTTAATAATACACACAATATATATAAATCATTACAATAATATGAAAAAATGAAAATCAAATTTAATAACATTTAATTTATTATTTTTTGTGTAAGATACATTTGAAAACAGTGTTTTCATTGTATTTATGTATAATTTTTGATACTGCAAAATTTTTAATTGTCAAATTTTTACTTTTAATATTTTTTATATTTTTATCTTAAAAATGCTAAATATATGTTTATATTTTATCGTTTAGGAAGACAATGCACAAATTTGTCCATTTTATCTTATCGTCATTTTGTTACCACAGTATTTTTAAACCAAATGAATAATATTAAACCAAAAACAGGAATCTTAATGTTAAATATGGGTGGTCCTAGTAAAATTGAAGAGGTGCATGAATATTTATTACGTATAATGACAGATCGTGATATGATTCAACTACCATTTCAAAGGTTTAATTATAAGTTTTAATAATTTATAGAAATCCAATCAATAAAAAAAGATTTTATTAGACAATATATATTACAGTCGACTAGGACCTTGGATAGCAAAGTCTCGTACACCTAAAGTACAAAAAAAATATGAAGAAATTGGAGGTAAATCTCCTATTTTAGAATGGACAAATAAACAAGGCAAACTTTTGTGTGAAAAATTGGATAAAATTTCTCCAAAAACAGCACCTCATAAACATTATGTTGCATTCCGTTATGCTAATCCTCTTACTGAGAATACACTTCAAAAGATAGAAGAGTAAGGATATTGATTTTTTTTGATGAATAAAAATGAATTTTTAATATAAATATACAATTAATATAAAATATAACAAATGATCTTTGTTTGAAGAATATGTATATATTCTTATTTTAGAGATGGTGTTGAACATACAATAATCTTTTCTCAATATCCACAATATTGTTGTGCTACAAGTGGATCAAGTTTTATTGAAATATATAAGTATTATAAGAACAGGTAGTTAACTTTTAAACTTTTTTTTATAATTTTAACACAATAAATGGATTCACATCTATCCATATATATTTATATTCTTAAATGAATGAATATATCTATTAATTTGTATTTTTTTTATTTTTTTTATTTTTATATTTTATAGTATAAAATCTATAAGTTTAAATTCTTATTTATTTAAAAAAATTAATAAAATGATATCAATTATTAAAAATAATTTTTATTTCTAATACAATAATTACAAAAATATACAAGAATATAAGTATATAACTTTTATTTCGAATAGGATTACTATTCCATAATCTATATTAAAGTGACAGCATATTTCAATAAAAATTGTAAGTATTTATTTTTAAAAAATTGATTTTCTTTAATACATAATTATATTAAATTTTTGTTTTTCAAATCATAAGAATTTTATATTTTATTGACTTTTAAATTATTATTTAATTTATAATATAATTTATCTGTATTATGATGTTTGATAACATTATATTTTGGGCTTTGAATAACTGATCAATATATCTATTTAAAAATGTATATACAAAAAAACTAAACAATGACAATTTTACAAATTTAAAATATTTTAAAAATATAGATTTTTCATTCACAATTTTTTTTTTTCCAGATACTACATCTCTTACAATAAAATATTTCTTTATATTTATAAGTATTTCAATAAATATTTCAATAATTAATCGCTTTAATTTTTTAAAAGAAAAGAAATAAAAAATTTTCGATTTTCACGATTTGAACGAAATTATTACTACGATATATTATGATTAATTAGTTTAATAATACGAAATAATTCAAATATTATAACAATATCTCAAGGACATCCATTTTAGATTTCCTAACATTTCATCTAGATTTTTTAAAAATATTTTACGATTACTAATAACACAATTACGTTTTGTAAAATGTATGGTATAAAATATTTGGATTTTCTTTATATCGAGAACTTGGAATTCTTGATAAAAGATCTGAGCTTTTTTAGAGTATGTATTACTCTGGATTAAAGATACACATTTCCTTACTAAACGTATTCATCATTTCCTTCTCTCCTGTCTGCTAAGGATTATACTTGAGAGAGAAAATGAGGAAATCAGTTGCCGAAAAGCTTTTTTCAGCGAGAGAATAAAGATGTAAGAATAAAGATCATAAAGGATACGTGCGTCAGTATATTTTAATTTAAAAAAAATCAAAAAATCTGTCCAATGTTCTTATAATAATTTATTGTTGTTTCAGAAATTCTTTTTCTCAAATCTTTTATAGTTAAAATAAATTAATAAAAATAGCGAAATTTAGGGAAAAAAAAAAACAATCTATTGTATTTTTTTTACACATGCATGATTTTCATTCATTTTTACAATCATTCATAACAAATAACATTTCAATACGATATACCTCTCACATATTTGGTAAATCTGATTTTATTTTTTTATTTATAAATTTTCATTAATTCAAATATGAGTAATTCAATTCAATTTTGATCTTTCTTTTTCTCTCTATATAAGCTCTATAAAAGCTTCATTAATATTCTCTGAATATTTGTCTATTACCAAAATACTGTATAATAAAAAATCTTAAAAAAAAATTTGCTGTCATTTTATCATTGCAAACTTTAGTTTATATTCATAATTATTCTAATTTAATTTTTTGAATTATATTTGAAACGTTGAGATTAAAATGAAAATAAATAATAGTTTTAGCTTAGCCCAAAAATGTATTACACTGCATTCATAATTTACAGACAATTACCTTCTAACATGAAATGGAGTGTAATAGATAGATGGGCAACGCATCCATTATTCATAGAGACAATTACAGAAAGAATTAAGGAAGAATTAGTTCTATTCCCCGAGGATATAAGAAGCAATGTTATAATTTTATTTTCAGCTCATTCGTTACCATTGAAGGTTACGTATTAGTACGAAAAATAAATTAATATTTTAATATTAACACGATGATTGTTTCGTATTGTATTTTAGGCTGTATCTAGGGGGGATGCTTATGCATCTGAAGTAGCAGGTACAGTTGCTTTAGTAATGGAAAAGTTACGATATTGTAACCCATACAAATTGGTATGGCAGTCAAAGGTATAGATATCTGTCGATAAAATGGGAAAAAATTAATAAAATTATTTTGCGTATTTTGTTTTCTAAATCTTTTTTTCATTACGCGTTTGAAAAATTTCCGATTTAATAGATTTTTAAAAATACATATCTTTTTTATTTTTAATATATAAATATTACGTTATATTAAATATATCGTTTTATAATTTTTTTTACGTTGTGCAATATATTAATGTGTTGTATCTAGGTTGGCCCAGTATCTTGGTTGGAGCCTTTTACCGATGATGCCATAAAAGCTTATGTAAAGCAAGGGAAAAAACATTTTATATTAGTACCAGTAGCATTTGTTAACGAACATATTGAAACTCTTCACGAATTAGATATCGAGTATTGCAAAGAATTAGCAGAAGAAGTAAGTGTCGCGTTATATAATCCGTAAATAATTACGAAGAAAAATTTTTTATCTTTTTTTATCTTTAGCTCGGCATTGATAAAATAAGGAGAACTGCTGCTCCTAATGATCATCCTACATTTATAAATGCTTTGGCAGATATTGTAGTTTCTCATCTTAAATCAAATAATTCTCTAAGCCCCATGTTCTTGACACGTTGTCCTCATTGTGTTAGTGGCAATTGTGCAGAAAGCAAAAAGTGGTATGCACAAATATGTAGAAATTGAAACAAGGATACAATATAAAAAATTTATGCATATTATCTATTTACAATAGATAGATATTTTTTATAATATAAAAAATATGAAAAATATCTACTTTTGCGATTCGTTTTGTACGATATAACGTGTTTTAAATAAAATATTGTTATTTCTTGATGAAGAGTGTTGATTTTTTTTTCCTATTGCACACTTTTTCCAATTATAAAAGTTATCATGTTTCACATTGTAATATTATAATCATTATTTCTTTTTTTTTTTTTATTTCATTAACATTATACGTAAATTTATTTTATAAATTACATATTTGAATTTCACGTTTAATTAAATGTGAATAGATATAAAAGTATCACATAAATTCTTTTATGAAATTGATATATGATACGAAATATAAAGAAGTATAATACTTCATAATAAATAAATAAATAAATAAATAAATAAATATGCGATGAAATTTTTAAATCCAATGAGATATCGTTATAGTCCGCTATAAAAAATTAGAACCGCTAAAAATGATAGAAATAACTTTAAAAAGAAGTATAAGACAGAATGGCAATTTGATAACATTTATGAGAGTAACCGTTCGATTTCTTTGCAGGTTACTCCCGTGGGGGTTATCGCGGCGACAGCAGAGAGCGTCTGCCGCGCTCTAGGTATCGAACGTGAGTGGCGCGGTGCTGGGTGCCGCGACGCTTATATAAATGCGCGAAGTCGGCAAGAGCGCTCAGTATGTGTCATGCTTTGCGAGCGCGAGCGTCGTCCGTGATGGCGGCTCGAGTGCGGTTGAAGATGCAATGCGGCACCGTCGTATTGCTACTCGTTGTCATCATCGTGGTGTGTGGTGTGGATTTTGTGTGTGGAATGTTCGAGCATCGTCACTGCAATCATCAGCATCCTCGGGCACACGAGGTAACCGTTACAAAAAGAACTACTCTCCTCTTTCTCTTTCTCTTTTTCTTCTCTTTCTCTTCTCACTCACTCTTACTCTCTTTCACCTTTGTTGTCCGCATTCGCTTTCCAGACGCATACCAACCAAGTAACTGGATTGCTAGTGCTACTTCCCTTTTATCATTTCTTCTCACCGATATTCACCGTTCCTTTTTTCTTTTTTTTTTTTTTTTTTTCATTCGGTCCACAATTTTCTCTTCTTTATTTCATTAAACTGGAGTTCCTTTTTGTCTCTGTAGGGATGAAATCGCGTGATTTCAACGAAACGTGCGTTTCACGTGTCACGTGCTCATGCTGTCTTTCTTACACACACACCTATACCTCGCGTGCGTTCCACTTTACCTTGAACCAATGAATATTGGCTCTCCAACTCCAACTCTCTACAATTCGCTACACTGGTTACAGTTTTAAATTACGTATTATCTTATTGTTAAATATTTCTATCTATATCGTTGATACCCTTCTATCTATATCTTTGATATTATACGTATGTTTCTTATACAATTTTTAATACGATTAACGTTCGTTTTAAAAAGTTCAAGGTCGATGCTGGGAGTAGTCATTGTTATCGATACATCTCTCATGTGTAGACATATAAATTTATATCGGATGTAAAAATGTGCAAATACATGTGGTTATTGATTTTTATAATGATGCCAACTTTTCGAAGTGATTTCTTTTAATATCGTATTTGACGAATTTAAATGCATCGTGGTGAAGTGCTCCTTATAATATGTGTACTTACCGTGACTTTAATCGTGTGAAGAGAAAGGTATTCATGAACTTGTTTTCATACATCAGTGAACCACGTGTTTTGAGAACGGACACGTGCCCTTGTCTGTTAATCGTACGAGTTTTTACCATTTACCGTTCGCTCCGTTTCGCTTCTACGTAAGTGATTGCATTTTTTATTTTGTCAAAAATAAAATATTTTGTCAAATATTTTCATGATCAATATTTGAAAAATCTTCGTTATTTTCATCAGTTATAATAAACTTTTCGATATTTGTATTGTAATTCTATAAAAAAAACTAAAATCAACACGAGAAAAATCGTGAAATTTAAAAATATTAATGAAACAAATGTACATTAATAATATAATTAGCAATGCGATAGAAATATTTTTAATTTTGAAAAAACAAAAGTATTATTATGTAAAGGATCTTGTAAGATTGTATTACTTTTTTTATAGTATAGTAATAAATACAAAATTTTTATTACGTTATATCTATTACTTATTTATTAAATTTCTATAATATTTTATAAAATTGTTCTATAAATCGTTTTTTGCATAACGTGCTCGATCAAAGAGTACATGTAACATTTAAATTTAGAGAGATTAAATTATTCTTTTTTTTAAAAATATTTGAATTCTTGCTTTAAATTTTTTCAACAATAAATCGTTTCCAAGATATTTAAATAATCCACTGTATATCTACTCGATATATGTTTAACGTTGCATATACGTATTATATATATATATCCATATAAATATCAAGTATAATTATAACAAACGATAAAACGAATGATAGTAAACGCGTTCGTATCGTTAACCAAAAATTGCTTTTGTAGGAACTCGAAAAGTTTCGATCCTTTGGTAGACGAATGAAAATAAATGGTCGACTGCTTCGCGCGAAACATTCTTTCGTCTTTTTCTTCCTGTCTCCCTCTCGTCATTCGTCTTTTCTTTCTTTTTAAACATGCTTTTTATCCGCTCAACTTTTGCGCCTCTAGGGATCGCACGAATTGCATAGCCATGCATATTCGAAACTTTTCTACGGCTTTCTGCCGGTACGCTAACTTCAACCCTTCCTTTCGTTAATAAAGAACGGCCCATTTGGGATACGCTATCGTTTCTAAAAATAAACCGCAATTTTCCATTTTTCTATAATTTACATCCAACGTATTTTAATTACACGCTATTTATCGCCAAATTAAAAATTCATTTTTATTCCGCGATATTTTTATCTATTATATAATCTGTATATATATATATGTGCGAAGCTAAGATATTTATATTGTATTTTATTTCACTTTGTAACACTTTCAAAGCGTATTTATATTTCAAAGAATAATAAGCCAGTATAATAATCGTTCCATACCGTCTCTGTCTTCTTTAACCGTCTTCTTGATTATATAAGTGATACTACGTGATACGTATAGTAAAAAATGTAGGATGTACGTTAAAATGATCTTTTATAATGAGATAAGAATCATGAAAGAATCGATACTGCGTAAAAGATATATTCGAATTATTTCGAATTTAAAAGCGTTTAAATTATTTTGATATAAGATAGTTTTAAAATAATTTTTTTCATTCTTCAAAACTTTTTTATTTTAGAGAGGCTATCTTAGAGATTAATTTACTTTGAATCTCTGAATATCCGTATACTTGTATTATTAATTTTATTTCCAAAGATATTATTTATGGTGATAACTTATTACATTTAATAATTTATCGTTTGATCAAATACCATTGACCAACTAAGAGACAATTAATCAATGATGTTACACGTTTAATAGATATATATATATATATATATACGTATAGATTTTCATAACACGGTTGATTAAATTTTTATATTTGTCATATTTATTTGTGCGCAGATATCGATCGAATAAAATTATTAACGAAGGATGCGACGAATCAATAGCACGATCATATCGTTCGCATCGTCGCGCAAAGCAACGTTTATCGGTTCATTATGAGTTTAATTATCAAATGAATTTCATGCAAAAAATTGATAAATTATAGAAATTTGTGATAAATGATATTCACGTTTGTATATTTGATTTATTAACAATATTATATATTGATACTTTTCTTCCTTGTGAAAAAAACATTGTCGATAACGAAATCAATAATTGGAAGGAATCTTGATTATCGCGAGTTGTCCGCGATGCTTCCACTCGAATTCTTGTTCGCTTATTCACAGGTTTGTCATAGTTTTCACTGAAAACGTTCCGAATTAATCAAAAGGGATTGTTTGAACAGACAATGGTAGTCGTAGTAAACTCGTAGCGGACTGAATAGAGTCCAGAGGAGAGGACCACGAAGGTTTCGTCGAGCAATGCAACTGTACTAATTAGTACCGCGTTGTCCTAGACAAATGCAACATTCCATCTTTATACACCTTAATACACACGTTTCGTTTCATTTTTTATCCATTTAACGATCGTTTAATACATTATTCTATACGTAGATTGAAATTGATCGAACATCCAACTTGTATTAACTTATATTGGGCGAGTTAATTTTTGTAAGTATTCAAGTAAGATGGATCGAGTTTGCCTATTATTATCTATCGATAAGTTCGCGATCGGATAAACACTCGTAAAACTTTTATTCGTGGGTTTAGCGCGTTGATTCGGTCAGGTATCGAAAAGGGGCGCTTTATTCGAAGCGCGAAAGATTTTCGAAGGTTAGATCGTACACGATCAAAGGAAATTGGAAGCGAGGTGGTCATAGAAGTAAACCAATCTGGTTCGGCTTCACGTCAGTCTCGTTCTTTGCTAAAAGTTTCTCGGTATATGGGGCGGAAGATTCGGTTGTAAGCGGCGATACGCTCGTACCAATGAATGAACAGGCTTTCGATTCAAATATAAATCTACTTATTTATGTATATATATGTATATGGTGACATTTAATCACATTCTTTTTCTAAATTAAAAATCACGTTATATCTACGATTTATCCAAACATTTATATACACGCTTGACGACGATATTTATGAAAGGAAATTGGTTTTAAAAACACAATAATAATTGTTATTATCATTATTACGTGGGAGCGGCAAATACGAGAGGGAAAAACGTGGAATTTGCCTGGCGGAATTTTCTAATACGAGTAAATTTAATATAGATAAGTCGTTGGGGAAGGAGAATCACGGTGTGGAGAAAGAGAAACGCCGTGAACTAAATGTGAAAAATATTATCCTTATGGCTCGAAGAACGACGGTAGATGTACGGTAGATACGACTCGAAACTGGGAAGGTAAATTACATTTGATCGAGGAAAATGTAAGATTGAAAAGAAAAGAAATATCGAAATAGTAATTGTAACGAAAAATGAAAATATCAGATATGAAGATGGAAAAGTAATAATAAAGATTCAAATATAAGATAGATTTTTTTCACAGATTGAGAAATTGTACGATACTGGTAGAGAGAAATAGAACGATTTGGTCGAGAGAGAGAGAGAGAGAGAGAGAGAGAGAGAGAGAGAGAGAGAGAGAGAGTAGGAAGGTAAGTAAGTAG